GCGGTCATAGCGGGCCGTTGCCATGGCAACGGGGGTCTGACGGTGAAACAAACTGGTACATTTTAAGTGAGTCTACGTCAGTACTTGGTATACCAAGAAAATTTGGTCGAAAATACCGCTGCTTGGAATTAATGGCCAATTCCCGTGTCTATTGAACCAACTTGACCTTGGATTTTCTTTCGCTCAGTCGACAAAACTAGACAAGATGCGAAACCTGGCCAAATTTTAGTTCACAACTCCAAACGGTTGCTGAGATATTGCCAACTTTGCACTTCGGCACCTGCCATAGGGCTAGGGCCCGTCCAAGGCCCGTACGAGGGGCCATTTAGTGGTCCCATTATCCAATAAAATGTACTATTCTGGCCCTCTTTTTCTTGTTAACAATGATCATCAGTGCCTACTCTATCATTTAGAGTGATTTTTACTTAGTGTAAGGCTTGTTTACGGCAAAAAGGGGGGGGGTGAACGCGGCTTCGGGGCGGTGGCACTTCCCTACTTAGTCCCATAGTTAAGCATAGGCGGCGGTCATAGCGGGCCGTTGCCATGGCAACGGGGGTCTGACGGTGAAACAAACTGGTACATTTTAAGTGAGTCTACGTCAGTACTTGGTATACCAAGAAAATTTGGTCGAAAATACCGCTGCTTGGAATTAATGGCCAATTCCCGTGTCTATTGGAGGTAGCAGAACACAGTTTTCGCCCTATGGGGATTTCTATAGTTAAGGACCCCAAGATGACTCACTTCGACGCGGTAAAAATTATAGCAGGGTGCACTTCACAAATACGAAAATCGAATATGTTTGAGAAGAAGGTACAAACTACAAAATATCTAGAAACCAAAAAATCCTGTCGGCGTATCTGCTCGTGACGTACACTTTGAAATCGCCTCCTACGGACGTGACCTGAACTGCAGCCGACTCACCCGGAAAGCCAGTTGCACAATGCGGCGCATTTATACACGAACTGCAAAACCTTCACAAATCAAATCATACAGTCTCAAACCCGATACATTTCTACACCACACAGCACAATTTACACCTGGCTGACGCTCTTATTAGGCTTTCTACCCAGCCTTCAAGAATATTCGCTGCACTACTTTCTATACCCGCGTCATTGGCTGCGGGGGTCGCATTCGTACTGTGGCCTGCTACGTTGGTCGACAGAGCGGAGATCGTACAGAAAACAGGCGTTTAAATCGCTAATTTTGCGCGGTAATGGCACCAACGGAGTCTACCATGATCGGAAATCAATTTTGGAGAGGCTGGGGAATCGAGGGGAGATGTGATGTCGGTTCGAACGCTCGCAAATTTCGAATAGTGGCGTTAGCAACTTTCGTCGCCCCCCTCCCCCTTGTCCGGCTGGCATCGCAGCAAAATAACAAAGCAGCATGAACAGCCTTTGCCTTCGGTAAGTGCAAAAGTACATTTTAGAAAATGATTACTGTATTAAAAGTATTAAAAAACAAAACAAAACTAGATTCAGTTACCTTTCCTGTCTTGTTGTTCTTGATGTCTTCGCTAGAAACAATAGAATGTCTCCAACTAACTTCCCCGGCCCCCTAGCCCCTCCCTCATTTATAGATTATTAGATAGTATATATATATATAGTATAATATTACAAGGTCTTGTAATATATGTATATATATATATATATATAGTATAATATTACAAGGTCTTGTACTACTACTTCCCAACGATCAGTAGGCATTTCTGTACAGTAAGTACATGACTTTTGTGTATTGAAAAGAGCTGTGAAAAAATAGTGAAATATTTGTCCTATGATAATTTGTGGCTACTGGCTAGTGAACTAGAAGCAGAATAAGATCAATAAATAAATGAATACAAAAGAAGCAGTATTGTTAAGTAAAACCCCCCAATGCAAAATGATTGTTAGACATTTTAGTTACAGCTGATTCGTCAAGACTTGTATATTGCGGATGCCTCAGGTTAGTCTTCTGACAAATGTAAATAATGTGAAACAGTTTGTCACCTGTGTAATTTTTCCCTTTTACATACCTCCAGGATGTACTACTACGGCAGATGCAGCAGAAGTTGTAAGGACAGTCTAGATGAAAGGCACGCAACTGCCAGAAGTTCTGAGTCTTTGAGTACCTGACTGCTGCTACAGGCTCCTTAGGTAAGACTACACCCCTGCATGCTCCTCAGTATCACCACACTTTAGTAATAATGTGTTCCTAAACAAATATCATGGTCAGGTCTGAACCTGTACCTGAGCTGAAGGGTGCCAATGTTGATGATTAGTGCCATGTGTCTGTAAAATTCAGCACAGAAATAGTAAAATTCTTTAGGTACAAGTCCAAAATTCTGGACCGCTAATATGCGGGGAATGGAAATAATTAGACCTTAAAGAACCTACCGGTAGTACACATGTCAATGATGTCATTGTCTTTATTAAAGTTCAACCATTATGTGAACAAGGAGTTCAAGTGCATGTCTGGACCTGTACCTAATTTAAAGCTGAGTACCTGCACCTAAAATTGTGTAACTAACATGATCTGCTGATGATGTTTGGTTTAGATTGTATACATGTATGTTTGTAAATGCTATCTTGAAGTAAGTTAGTGCTTTTGTAAGTTGCACCGTAAATAATCATGTGACATGTTTCTCAGTGATGTGAATCAATGTTTAATGATACTTTTGTTCAATCATACAGGAACTGACTCCGAAGAAGGACTCCATATCACCACCAAGACATCCAACATGCAAACACAGAACAGACAGCCTTACCCAGGGTGCATTGCAGCAGTGGAGTCAGATGTGGATAGGATTGTTTATACATGAGCAGTTCTACAACATATTTCCCAAAAGTTAACATTGTCGGTGTGCCATGTGCCTCAGGTGGTCAGTATTGATACATGTAGAGACCATAGGTTACTGTATTTTGCCTTATTTTGACAAACATTTAGATTTGTTTTTGTGTCTGATGGTTGTCAGATGATTCGACACAAGCTATTAAGGTCTTATTACTATATTAGCCATACCAGAATGTGTACTGTAAATGTATTCCAGTTCCAATCTCCAGTGATTTAATATGATGACAATGATACATTTTACATTGTGTCGCAAAAAGTCACTGATATTGTGGAAAAAGAGCAAAACAATGCAAGGCTTTGTAAGCTCCACTGAATGTCAACCCATATACAAAATGTATCACAAGCCAGTTTTGTAATTTCCTTGTTATGTCAGTGTTTCTTTGAATAGTTTTCAAGCTTTTTATCATGTGGGATATAATGACATGTTAAGGGTGACAAGTTGGTATGGATTTTCCATAGAACATGTGACAACTTTTCCTGGTACATGTTAAACCAAGTGTATAGTTTCTCAAAGGCTATGTGTTAGTACAGAATTATAATATTAATAATATATTTAGATTGTGTCTGCTGATAGTCTGTGTCTTCATGAGAAATGCTGCTTGTATTTATTATTATTCTGTTGTATGTGTATGTATATGTCTTTGAGTGTTGTTAGTACAACACAGGTGGTCATTGATCATTTGAACATTATAAGAAAAAAGTGCATAACTTTTACTTACTTGTATGTAATGCTTATTTGCATACCTTTTAGAAAAGGTAACTGCCAATTTATGTTTAATTTTTATGCTTTTTAAATAAATATTTCTGAGTTCTGCCCAGAACCCATTTCCTGTGCTTGTATGTAATTCAGGGGAGTGATACAACGTAATTAAGGAAATATGGGTAAAGGGGGGTAAATATGGCAAGTCGTTCTGGTAAGGGCATGTACGCGTAAATACGGGTAAATTCAACTAAATGTCAGAAATACCATGCTCGGTAAATCTCGGTAAATACGTGAAATGAGAAATACCCCATATGGTAAATCTCGGTAAATGCCTGAAATGCATGTGAAAAATACCCCATATGGTAAATCTCGGTAAATATATGTGAGAAATACCGCACACGTTAAATCTCGCTAAATACGTATTTACACGAAACCGGTAAATGTGGGTAAATAAGGCAAACATTACCACCTATACCATGTAGGTAAATACCGGGTAAATTTGCACATTTACCGACGGGTAAATGTTGGTAAATCACTGGTAAATGTAACCTTTACCCGGCTTTACATCACATTTACCTTGGTGGTAAATCCCACTTTTCGTGCAGTGTGAATG